CAGTGGGATCAATGAAGTCTCAATCTATCCGTCTCAGGTCAAGCTGAGTGTGCTGCGGTGAGTTGTATGTGTTGGTGCGCAAATACTGTAGAATGTGGCTAGCCATGCAGTCTGTGATCCTTTATCCTGTGTGTTGTTTTGCTGCTCCCAGCCGGACGCTTATTTGTTTGATCTACAGTGAATTGATTGGAACAGATTTGCCTGTGTAAGCTTTCGCTTAAATGTCAACAACAGAATGTGGGCTATTCACTCTGTAATCCTGACATTGTCTCTTTGATGCGCATGGCCTCACTGTGTGTGTGTGTGTGTGTGTGTGTGTGTGTGTGTACACACCATGTCACTCAGTGTGTGTGTGTGTCAGTGTGAGCGAAACAGTAAAATAATAGGTAGAATTAAAATAATAAGTAAATCAAAAGGGAATAAAGTGCCAACTCAAAAGAGGAAGTTACCCTGGACTATGGGGAACTGTGATGCACATTTTTCTTACACAAAATGATTGATCAAGTATTAAAATAATTGTTTGATTCAGTAACTTAATATAACACAACATTGTTATATCTATGTTTCTGTTTACTTTTTTACTCTTCAATTACTGTATGTTAAATGTATTTTGCATATTAAGTATAACTAAATTGAAATTTGATGGAGTAGGGAGAGAGAACAACAGGAGGAGCCTTTGAGGAGTTTGGGTCTTAAAGAAGCCATATCTTGCTAAATGCATTTATACAATTAAGTTACATGCTTCTACACACGTGCACACAAACTAGCTACAAGCATTGGTCAACACCTTAAGGCTAGTCGTTATTTGTATTGTTCAGTGCTACGTGATACGGGCTCATGAACAGAAATAGTGTTGGCGGACCTCAGTCTCGTAGGATTCTCTCTCTGGTGTGTTTTGGGGTTCTGTGGGGGCCTATAAGATCTGAAGCCCACCAGTGGGGGAGGAAGATAAGACAAGCCACAGGAGGGACTACTAGCTAAGCTTAAATCTACACAGCTAGACTGCCAATAAGCACGATATGAAATAACACTACAGCAGTGTGTTTTTTGTGTACTTTTTTCACATGTTCATCATTCACCTGAAGCAGTGTCGGGTGTGCAGTGAGAAGGCGTATGATAACACATCTGGATATAATGGAGATCTATTATACTTGTTCGCTTCTTTTTTGCTGTTCACATTACATTACATGTGAAACTGTGACTACAGAGAATAATATGCTTTTTGTATAGATGGGAGTGATAGAGAAAGGTATAGAGAAGCCTGGATGGAATCCCCTACAATAGCAGACAGCGACCATGTATTTGCCAGGTCACCTGCAGAAATGGATGACAGCCTGAATGCTAGCTGTTAGCTTTTAATGTCCCTTTCACTGAATGCTTTTTTTCTGGCTGCTCATCCATTGTTGAAGCGAACTGTCTGATCTGGCATTCAGAACTGTGAACATTTCATATTGAAGAGAATGCTTTTATACTTTTATCACAGAATGGAAATCCCCTTGTTGCATATACAGTATCAGGTGACTTTCTCATGAACTGCAGGGCTGGATGGCAGAGCCTGATTCCATGGTTCCTAACGTGTTTTTAACATATAAAGTCTTCAAGGAGGCAGTGTTTATATATAGTTATATATAGTTTATTTATGCGTTATCTATATAATCTAAAGCACTTTATTATGCTTAGCTTGTGACAACCAGTGGACATTGTGTGTGTGTGCATGTATAGCTTCTGTGTATGAGTTCAAGTTGCGTGTGACTGAGCATGATGGTCCATGAATGTGTATGACTTTGTGTACCTTTTGTGGCACATTCGATATTAAATTTGAAAACAACATTGCCTGAGGTTTGTCTGCGCTCAGCTCATCTCAAGTGTTTGCTTCATTAGCGAGACCTCTCTCATCTCTTCCTCCCTCTCTCTCACTCCTTATTTCGGCTCTTTATTCCTTTTAATCATTGCGACAAAGAGTTCACCCCTCTCCTCCTCCTCCTCCTCCTCCTCCTCCTCCATCTTGCTTATCTGTTTGTCTCTGGCCAGCAGTGTCACACAGACTCCTCTGTTCTTCTGTTCTCTAGTCTTGTATAATGAGTTCTGCTTGGGATGGGACATTCTGCAATTTGGCCTTTACTCTGGGGCCAAGAGGGAGTGGGAGGCATGAATGAGAGGTGGAAGAAAAGACAGCATGGATGGATGGCACCAGGCTGTCACTAAAGCAGCAGTGGTATTAGTTAGTTAGTATGGTCAAACTTCTTTTAAAATTGACTCTCTAGTTATGTAGGTCTTAAAAAGTAACCCACAGTGCACATACAGGCACTGATAATAACCAAACATTTTTAAATCTTCCGTCTTACTACAAACTGAAATGTCAGCTGTCCATCACCTCCCTGCCATCTGTTTATCTCCAGGTTGGATGTGGTTGACACAGTTTCACAGTATACACAGAACTCATTTTGTAGTTTCACAATTGATGTGAAAATGTAACTTTCAGGTACGACATTGATTAAAATCATATTGCAGATGCTGGACGATTCTCACTAGTTCAAGGGACAGAAATGTGGTTTTCATGATGAAGTAAGCCATCTTGGTCTCCCTTTTTTATAAGTCAGACACTAGAGTAGACCCTGTGACATAATGAGGACATTTTATATTGTGGCGAGCAATAACATGCTAACCATGTGTTTGTTAAAGGTCTAATCTCACAGCAGTATTTTAATCTTAAAGTCAGCATTTTCTTCTGTAAACACTTAAGTAAGTGCATTTCTGTGTGCCGTGTCCGTGTATTCGTTAAATGTCACTTCAGCCAGCCAGAGATTTGAGATGGACTTTGATCTTCTTGATCTTCATCCCTTTAATCCACTCAAACACTCCATTTTCTTTGTGATGAAAACATTCGCTGGAGAACAGACGCGCTCCTCTTACAGAGGGGTCGTTGATTTCTCTGTCCATCTGTTTGTCCTTTCTCTGCCAAATTTTTGCGGATTAATTCAGATTAGGAATTAATTGGACGGTACTATTAAGATGTTGGTGTGCAGTTAGCCAGCATGTTATATCAAATCGGACCACAATAATACATCTGCTGTAAAACCATGTGATTAACTCTCTCTATTGTTTTCTGACTTTTTTACTGTGTTGCTGTATAACCCAAGCAAACCACAACACGAAAACTGCACTGGAGCTAATATTCTAGTGCAGTTGTACTCATTTTGAGTTTATAAGGTACCTAAGTTTTTGTTGCAATGTGGTGCAACACGTTTCAGTAAATACTGCTCCTCTACTGACGATCCACAGTCATTCTCAGGGTGCATTTTATGTGTCCGCATCTGTTAAAGCCATCTAGCAACAGCAATTTATGGGCAGTTTGAAGGGTCGTAACTGAGTGCTGTTACCATCAGTTGTACATTGCCATGTTCTCCACAAGGGGTCAGTATTGATACAGCTTTGATCTGCCCTTTGGCTCCACAGGATATATTACATGTCAGTGTAGACGTAGCGTTCCACATGTTCCCAATCTCATTGTGTTGTAAGATAAGGACTAAGGTAAACAGTTGAAACAGTTGAGTAGTCAATTAAAAAAACTGTATTGTTCCAAATATTTCCATAATTGGTAAATATAAAGTAATTTTATGACTTGGCCCTGGACAATGGACATTTTACAGACTAATTATTATTTGAGATAATGAAAATAATTGTTAGTTGCAGCCCTTTCTCTGTGTATACCAATGTACTGTACCATCATGTACACTCAGTTGCCAGTGTATTAGATACACCTAGCTAAAACTAATGCACTCTAATACAATAGTCCTGCATAAATCCTAACTTTATGAAGGTTATAGTGTTCACTTTTTATTGACACTGTCTGAGGTGTTGATCCAACTGTATGGTCATAATTATTTATACATTTATTGTATATCTTTATTTTTAATAGGTACAGTGCCTAATTAAAAGTAATGGCACCAGAGTTAGCTGGCAGCTAATTTGAATCTGATGTCCCTGCTTTAGAGGCTGCAGTTTGTGGTGCTGTTGGATTGTATTGCAATATACCGCTGACAGGTGTTGTTTTGTCCACCCCATTTATATCAGAGAGGGTGAGCTAAATAACAGAAACACCTGTCTATATAATTGAATACAGTTAAACAACCACTTCAGAACTAGGATTAGAGGCAGAGAGAGAAAGATAAAGACCGCACACTCTGTTCTCTGTCTGGCATCTTTAAGAGTTTACTGCTGTTTACACCAAAGCAGCGGTGACTTTATTATATATAGTAAAGTCAAGTTGTCTTTTAGAGGGTAAGCTATTATCTGCCCAAGGAGATTCAAGCAGCAGTAGCTATCAATTCTGTCTTATCCACTGCTCGTAATCCATACTAATATGTTTTGTCATTTCCAGACGAACAAGTTTTGTCTTTATGGTTTCTTATCACATACTGGTTTGCTCTGTTATTACAAAGCAATCTAATCCCTGTGACTCCCTCCGAGGTGTTTTGCTCTAATGGCCAGCTATATTTCAGTTGTAAAAGCCAGTATGTGCCACTTTCTGTGTCAGGCCCACTATCCATGTGGAGACAATAGAGTGAGCCGTGCTAAGAATCGATACATCTCTCTTTGTCTGTTCTTGTCTGCCCTGAAACTGGAATTAGTTCCATTTCCTCCACAGCTGGATACTTCACTGGTTTTTCTAAGCTATGTAGAGGTTAAAAAGGTTAGGTTTCTTGTATACATGTGTTAAAGGAATAGATAGGTGAGTTAAAGTACAATAACCCTCAGAACTTATGCACTGCAGATGAAAAGTTGAAGTGTTAAGTGTCTTTAATCTTGCAGTGTCGATTTAGGTTTACTATGCATTGCTAAAAGCTGCACACGTTGAACTCTTTCATGCTACTGAGAAGTGAATAAAACTCATAAAGATTTATTTTATTTCAGTTCCAGCTGGTCTAACTTGTACTTTTTTTCTTTCTTGTTTGCTGCCATGTGGATTCAACTCTTCCTTCCATTGGTCTCTTCAACAGGTAAGAAAGACATTGTTACTTTAACCTGAAATGACATAGACATATTCTTTCCTCCAACTGCGTGTTAGTAACATAGAATGGCCCCATATGGTGCAATTAACCTTAACACTAGGTCTTTGTTGTTGAGTCCTCTGTCTTTTGCACATCCAGAGGAACAGGAAGTAGGCTGTGTATAAGTTCACTGGCAAACAGCACACTAAATGTTTGTCTCCGGCTTGATGATTCTGTACTCAGCACACTTAATGGCCTGTGCTTATCACAACAATAAAGTAAATGTATCTTGATATACTTTGTATTCAAGTCATTAGTGTGTCTTTATCTGCCTGCACGACTTTGTTGTTTCCAAATCTTTTCCACTCTGCTCTTGTAAATTAACAATTCAGTATGCTTAGTGACTGGAAAGTGGGCTATTAAATATCTAGGGAAAATGCCTGGTTTTGAAGTAATGCCCTCAAAGTGTGTAAAGAAACTTAGGAATCAGTATTATCTTTATGGCAACCCATTCAAGTAGAAAGTGCATTCAAGTAAAAAAACACAGCATCATGTTAGACATAAAGAATATTCAATATTTTTGGCATTGTCAACAAAAAGACTAAAACCAACGATGCATTAGTTTCAATACTGTCTGTGACACTGAGTCCCAAACCCACTGGTTTCTACTGAAGATGTAACATTTTAAAAACAGGTTAAAGACATTCAAAAAAAGATTAAATGATTTTGGTAAATCACCTGGGCACTGTGTTTTTTAGCAAACATCTTCAAATAAAAGTTAATAAATTTGTTAGGGACTGTTTGCAGCTGCATTAGAATTAATGGCAGCAGGACAGTGGTTGTCATATTGACTCCAAATAAACTACAATGCCCCTGTTTATAGTTATAAACTGTTACAACTGTTACCTGTTTTTTTAATAGTTTCTGGACAACAATAGAGACACAGAGGAATAATGTATAGCAGGCTTTGGCAGCATGGCAAATATGAAAATATACTGATTGTTGGTTTGGTCTAGTCAGACTTTACTATAAGATATAGAATATTACAAGACTTCTCCTTTAACCAGTTGAATCTGATGTCTATGGATAATAGCCAAAAGGCTAACAAGCTTTAGTATATATAATATTCAACATTACAGACCAGTTTGTAATTATACTTGGGTCCTGTCCCATAATGCAATAGTTCACACCTGGCATTAACAATAAAACAAAAGCCAGTGGTTTACTTTCTCTTGACCTTTTATTAGCCCTTTCATTGCTCACTGGTGTCTTTGTCGTGGGACCAGAGGAGGCCAGCAGCAGCACACGAACTCTGCGTGACCCTGATTCTCTGGTCTGCCTGTCTATAGGCTCCTGTCTAACAAGAACTCACTGTAGGTAGCTATTCCCACAGTGACTATTATGCAGGCAAGACAAATCACTCTGCTTTGTAATTTCAAAAAGCAGTCTGGTCTCACACGTGTCTCTTTTGTGTGCATGAATTGGAATTACTGTTAGCCATATGAGTTCAGTTAAAACCCTAATTTGTTTGTATTTCTGTAACATTACAGACTAGGTCTTAAAACATAGGCATACTGTTTATATATCACTGGTTTCTCTGTGAGAGTGAGAAAACAGTGTGTCCGGGGTGTTTCATGAGCCCTGCAGCAGCAGGGCTTACACTCCCTCTGCTACCCGGCACGAGGCTCTGGCTTGATCTCGAGTGATATATATACCTACTAATGTTCCTACTAAATGCTCTCTGTGGGACCGGTGGAACAGTCAGGTCTATGTTAGAGACATACAGACACATGCTACTGCATTCTGTGGTTGTGAGTTTATGGGCTGAGGTAATGACAAAAACCCCACACAGCATGTAGTGTTATGGTCCCCACTGCGCTCACTAGCAACAAGCGGCATCACAGTGAACAACTGAGCAGCCATAGAGGGAAGGAAGGTAATGCGGAAGGGAGAGTATGAGAGAGCAGGAGAGGAAGACAAATAAATTATCTTGGCACCCAGATAGATGTCGATTAGAAAGAGGTTGACATTTGCGGGGGGTTTTCTCAGACATGACCGTGCATATTTTGTGACTGTTTCATTTTGTTTGCATATCAGCATTTTTATTCAGTAAGTGTAAAAAAAAAATATTTAGAAGTTTAATTCAGTAAGGCTATAGTTTTTAAGTATAAACATATAGTATCATCAACACTTCCCTAACTTCAGGGCTCTGAAGGGTCCCTGGTAGGACTAGGATGTTGTTGCCTTGGTTTGGTTCCAAACCAAAACTTGAGACGTGGATTGGAAATCAGAAGGAATCACTCGACTGTCCCATACATTGCTCCTGTTTGCTTTAGAGTAGTTTGTTTACTTCGTAAGCAGGGCAAATATAGAAAGTGCGTGGGGCTGGCAAACTGTTGACTCAGATGTTACAGATGTCTAGAAATGTACATTATATCATGAAAAAAACTTGTGTCCTTGTGAAACATGCAGTTTTCATATTAAAATAACACATACATACATCCTTGCAATTGAGCATGTGTTTCATTGTGGACTATGGTCCCTCTGCCTGACCCTCTCCTTCAGAGCACACTCTGATTGGCTGCGACACTCTCAACAGCCTATTTACATCTGCTTCTGATAGGCTGTCACTCTCTGCCATGCCTTTCTTGCCTAGGGAAGCAAATTAAAGTGGTTCAATTGTAAAACCAGGAACATGAGTCAGACTCTGACCGGATCAGGACTCACTAACAGTGGGAGTTGGTGATTTATCTTTAAAAGTTAGACTTGTTTACTGCACCACATGTTCTCTTATCTGTGAGTTTGTAACAGATAGTTTGGATGATGGAGAAAAGTAAAACATCTGTAATCTGATGGCTGCCTTGTTAACTCCATTCCACCGAAGACCTTATCTATGCATATTTTCTATGCAGCCCAAACTTTTCTCCTGTTGTTCTCCACCACAAAGCATACTCTCTGTCTTTTACACACACTCGCACAGAGTTGAAGATAGGGGTTTTGGATGTATATAACTGTGGTACAAGAGACTCCTTTACTGCTTTATGAAACAGAGGGACTGGCTTTCTGACTGTCTATAAAATTCCTTTAGTGCACTCTGGCACTGGGAACAGGAACAGCTTTCCTGTCATTCAGGATACACACACACAGTATTCCGGACATCATGCCTCTGGGATCTGGCTGTGGGAAACTTTGAGGGGGAGTGTTCAAAGGTGGAGCAGAAGTCTGAGCTTGTAGGACAGGACACAAGGATTGAACAGAAGTGGATGTTTGATGGTTTCACTATGGATTGGATTTGATCACGACAAAAATCCACAAGGACTTAAGTAGATGTGAGTGACTGCAAGAGGACTCTTAAGTGAAGGTTGCGATAAACAGTCGCACTCCATGAGAACTTTGCCAGGAGTTTATCTGCACTGATACCAGATTCAAGAGGACTTGTTTCCAGTGCTGCAGAGATATCTCGTTGTTGGTGGGCCTCAGAGTGGAAACCAGCACCATGGCTGGGGTCACTAGGAAGGGATCTGGAAGACCCTCATACTACTACAGATTCCTGGGCAAGTCCCGACTGCAGCGTCAGCGAAGCCGGTCTCGCAGCCGCACCAGGCCGTCTGTTAGCAGGGGTAACAAATACTACTACTACTGCTAAAAAAGAAATACAGTAGAATAAAATGGTGGTGGGTTTTAAAAGTATTTAAAAGTATTTAAATGAGGAGTAGCAGTTCCCCTTTTTCAAAAGTTTTTTCTCTTTTATTCATATGGGAACTACTTTTATAGTCACATTATTTTTAGAACCCAAGGCAACACTTTTCGCTCACATGTGTGTGTACTGTGTGCTCATGAGAGTGAGAGAGAGAGTGTCAGTTTGGCGTCACCATTCACAAGGTGATGCTACTCTCAAATTGCACCTCCAACGCTTGACAGCTCACAGCTCGGCGTCAACTTGCAGAGTTCCACCTTGTTCGGGCGGTCCGCCTGTGAAAATCTTTGTTCTTAGCAACCGAGAAACACTTCGGGCCAGCTAGTTAGTTTGCACTGCATAACTACTTCTCTTTCTGTTATCCCATGTCCTTAAGCACTCTGTTTCTTCACTTTGCTACTTTTCTGCCTCTCAGTAGTCCTGTACTTACTGCTGGAGGCAGTGTTTGAACTGCAAGGTTATAGTGATAAGTCTGCCCCTAAGGCTTAGCTCAAGTTACTTGAATTGAGAGAAAAGAAGTATCTCTGAAAATCTTCAGCCTATTGATTTTATTCCAAGTGAACTGCTGTAGCTTGCCAACCAAGATATTAAGTGGAAGACTGTTGCGTATCTGTTGCTCTGTTGCTGTGGAAATGATGCAAACTTTTTTGAGACAAATAGCTCATTGAGGAAAAATCAGACTCACTTTCTCTCACTTTTGCTGAAACTGAACCTAGCTTATACTATTTTCAAGTACTCTTTTTCAAATAACTTGCATTATGAGTATGTGTAGTTAGTCCTCCATAGTAAGAGACACACAAAGTCAGACACAGTCATGAGAGAGAGACAAAGAAAGTGTGTAGGTGCCTACTGCTTCTCTAGCTGATGAAAGAGCTGCTTTGAAGTGCCCCCTCTGTATCATTGAGTTCTCAAAAGAACATACACGCACACAGGCATTTGAACTTATGTACAAAGACACACACAAACACACTCTGCCTTGATCTTTGTGGTTAAGTGCAAGCTTCTCTCACAAAAAAAAAAAGCTTTACACACTACACATTAACACAGTGACACACAGACAGGGTGGGGGTTGAGGTTGTTCCCAGATGAAGCAAAAGACCACTCTCAAGACCAATACATGCTTTGATATTTGTTGCTGTAGTAATCAAAGAGTTAAAAGAAGTTTTGGTTGCGCTTTGTATGACCCTATACTGGAAACTGTCTATCATTGTACTGTATATCAGTGCATTATGGAGACTATGATGTGGGTCCTTTGTCAGAATCCACCAGGTGGCCAGAAAGACACCTCAAAATGAACGCTGGTGTTGGTCTGGATCTGCTGGGAAGTGTAGTGTAACTTGTAGGGAACTTATTACACATTTGCCGACTTCATAAGGTGATAATATGTTTGTGTAGTGTTCATATTTTGTTTTTCTGCTACCCTCAAGTAACAAAAAAAAAATCAGTTATTCCAGGTCTTTGTCATGCACATGCCCAAATCCAATTTCAAACCTGGTTACACGTAATACATGGCCAAGAAGGTGGCGTTATCCAGGAGTAATCAGGATTCTCCAGGATTCTTGTTTATGTGACACTGATGAAATTAGGTTACTGCGGACAGTAACCTATTTTGTGCATTTAAAATAACTGAATGTAACAAATATGGCAGGACTGCTTTATGGCTATAGTTCTAGTTATGTTTTACTGGTTTTTGCAACAATATAGTACTTTAAATTGTTAGCCAAAAACAAACATTCCCAATTGGTATCTCCAATCTCCAGAAATGTACTATATACATATATATGTATTGTGATATAAAATGACAAACTGATTTTTATCATTGTCCGCCCTACAACGTGTGTATATGTTTTATCTAATTCATTGGAATAGGGTCTGTGAAGAGAAAAAGAAACCTTTCTCAGTAAACAGTCCTATATGCCTGGAGCTAGATGATGTGATATTGCTGAAATGTATCTCATTCAAAAAGCCCAGCAGCGCAGTATGAAATTTTTATTTTTGTTCACACCACAGCCGTAAACAGCTATGAGAGTAACGGAGGAAGTTACTGCAGCAGCTCTTGATGTATACACTGTCTCTGGGGCAGATCAGGTGGCAGTTGCATGAGCTCATGTGTTATTGTTTTCACAGCATGTGCGTGTGCATGTCAGTGCGTCATTATCAGTAAATGGAAAATCTTATATCAGGTCGGTTCACGCTCACATCACTCTGGATCTGTTTCCCCTTCTTTCGCCAGGGTTAGTGACATTTACATGCAAAATTACATCTTATCTTCAAAGAGAGGACGGCAGAGAGACAGGCAGAGAAAGAGAGAGCGGTATTGTCTGATCTGACTTGTTATGCTGGTTTGTTTTGACTCTTAACTCTTGTTGCAATCAAACTCTTTGTTTTCCGAAGTGTCCTGTGAATGGGATGCAGTCATTTTTAAAAAAAGAATTCATCATCCGTCTCTTTTTTTATCTACATTTGCAAAGCTTTTGTATAACACATAACAGCTTTAAGTGGTAAAGGAGTTTCCATTGAAAAGCTGTTTTAGCTTTTGTAAACTTTTCTATCTCCTCAGAGAGAGAAAATTACTTTCTGAACAAGTTGATGGTTTTATCACAGTTAAGTTTCTGTCTCTTATTCCTTCCCTCGTGTTGGGCAGATTCTTTACGTGGCTGAGTTGAGCTTTTATTGCTTTGACATCACCTTGTTATGTACGTTCAGATGCCGTCAGGAGATTGCATGGTTTCTATTTTTTTCACCCCTAGGTGTATCACCCAAACCTGCTGATTGTTCCCTGGCAGAAATAAGTTGCCTTTCTTCTTTTCTTTCCATTGATCTCTGTCTGTATTCTTGCTGACCCGCATTTTCTTAAAAGCTTAAAATCTGGCAGCAGCTCACATAAACAAAAGCTGGCAACTGTATTTCAAATGCGTAAACATACATACACACACGCACTCACACACACACTTCTTACTGTACTTTTGAAGACATCCAAAGATTAATTTCCTTTCTTCCATCTCAATCTTAAACACTTTTTAAACTTAACCATAGTAACTATCAACTAACCCTAAAGTAACCTAATCCTCACCCTAAACAAATTTTGTATTTCAGTTGATTCTTAATGAAATAGTTTGACATTATATTCCTTTTCTTGAAGAAAGTTTGATGAGAAGATTCATCCTACTGCTATATCTGTCAGTTCCAGCTAAAGCTAGAGCCAGCAGCCGGTTAGCTTAGCTTAGCATAAACACAGCAGACTTGGAGAAATAGCTAGTATGGCTATGTCCAAAGGTAACAAAAATCTGCCTACCAGCCTCTCTGAAGCTCGTTTCTTTAATCTGTACCGAAACTAAAGTATAAGAGTAACAGCTGGACTATCCGTTGGTTGCCTGGCAACCTCACAATGACAACAAATGAAACAAACAAGATATAACATGTTCATTAATGAACTTTGCAGGTGCTGGTAGGTGGATTGTGTTACCTTCAGGCTAGCTGTCCCCCATTCCCCTTCCAGCCTTTATGCTAAGCTAACAGTCTCTTGGCTCCAGCTTAATATTAAATGGACAGAAATGAGAGTGGTATAAATCTTCTCATTTAGCTCCTTCAGGAAAGTGTATTTCCCCCAAATGTCCAACTATTCCTTTAAAAGTGCAATACTTTGCTGCTAAACATTTCTTACATGAATAAAACATCAAACTGAAATGTTGGAGGATGAGGCTAGCAGCTGCAGCACAAGTCAGGTCAGATCTGTCTTTGTATATCCCAATATCACATAGAGTCTCTCAATGGGCTTTACAGATCCACATCAACAACTGTTGCAATCTCTCAAAACAAGGAAGAACTAAGCAAAACAGAGAAGAATGAAAAATTACAGGAAAGGGAAGGAAAAACTGGAAGAAACTTTTGCAGAGGAAGTTTAGCGGTGATAGGAACCAATGAAAGACAATTACAGAATAAATATTTCTAACAATAATACACGTACACTACAGTCCAACAGTAGTACTCGTCCAGCAACATCTGTTCAAACAGGTGCCCTGCAGAAAAAGCATTTCTTTCTAAATTGTCCTGCCCTTTAAATATACACACACTCACAGATGTAGGTTCTGATGCTCTGTGTCTGTTCCAATGACAGCACCAACCACACACACAGCACGCAGGGAAAGAAGCAAAGTAACAACAGCATGAAACCATGAAATATCACAACAGTAGAGAGAGTTACTGCGAGTAGCTTGCAAGAAAGTGTTTGAACTACACAATAACAACTCAATAATGCATTACCACTGACAGTTATTGCACATAATCATATTCTCAATGGGTCATTACCAAGAAACACTTTTGATCCGTGCTACTGTGTCATGCTCAGACTTAGTCAGGCTGTTTATGATGCAGCCAATTTTTTTTTTTGTGTGTGTGTCTGTCTGTCTCCTTGTTTGTCTGCTGATGGGAAGTGAGGGCAGAAAGAGTACGGCTGATAGATGGGAAACATGGCCAAAAAAACACAGACGATCATAATGACTCAGTTCCCGACGCGTAAGTCATATTTACAGGTAAATAACAGGAAGGCTGGAAACAAGTCTGCATTAATGTTTTGTGTCTCAAATTGTTAATCCATTTTAAATATTAACACGATGGAGAGAAAAAGAGAGATTTAGAGCTAAGTAGTGCCAAGTTAAGACCTTAAATTCACGGTGAATTGAATCACTTTTCCTGTTTTCCCTAAAACAGATTAGCCCTTTCATCTGTTTTTGTAGTTTGTGCCAGAGCACCCTTGCTGAGATTAAGGTTATGTTTTAGTGAAACAAAGGCTTCCCCAATCAACCTAGATAGCCTCCCTCTTTGATCATTTTGTCTTAATTTTCAGCATATACAATCAGGCCAAGGGCCAGGAGAATATATGCGATAAAAGTGTAGAAAATTAATAAATATAGCACAGAGTAA